AGCCGGTTGTCCTTACCATTAGGAGACTGTTTACTGTTTAATCAGAGGCCTAGACCCCGAACAAAGGAACCAACCAATTGGAACTTATCGGTTGTGTTGGCCGCTCCAAGCAGACTATCCTTTGAGCCTCTCTGATCAGCACCCGTCACACTTTTGACGTGGAAACAGTCTTTCTACTCACCCTCGCCTCAGGTAGGCGTCGGGCTGAACTAGGGGCCCTGTCTTTATTGGACGGGTGTGTCGCCTTTATGGGCAATCAAGTCGTGATAAAAACGTGAATCGGGTTTCTCGCCATGAAGCAAATCCCAGGACACGATCCACAACCGATCGTCATTCCTGTAATGACTGACAAGGAGGCAGCACCTGAATTTCTCTTGAGGATAGTGAGATGCAACTGCTCCACAGACTGCCACAGTCTCAGATGTACCTGCAGAAAGCACAACCTTGAATGTTTTGCAGTTTGTGGTCAATGTCGAGGACCTGGATGAAAATGTAGTTCAGATATATTATGAAGATATCGATGACGATTAGCAATTACATTATTTAAACAATAAACTTTTGGACAGAATTATAACTATTTAGTACAGGTTGTTAAATCAAAAATATAGTTTATAGAGTTGAAAATTTACGTTTAAATGTCTATTATGTATATACATGTAGTATAGCAGATTTGTAGATCCAACAAAGGTGTTTCATTCCTCTAGTTTTTCTTTAAGATATGACGGCCATGTTGGATTTATGCAGATGAAGCATCCGTCTACCCAGGAAACAATTTATTTACATCTTTTCTGTACTTACTAACACTACATACAGTAATATTCAGTCAACTTGGAAAACTCGTTATGCTCGTCCAGATAGGACAGACAGGTCCGTTACTGTTATAGTTCTAGTTCCATAGTACATCTTACCTCTGGGAGTGTATAATAAAACCATCTATGTAACGAATCTTCTCAATTTATAGGAATCAAGTCTCATCAAATTGCTCCAGCATATCAACAGACTTGTCTAAATAACTTATCAGAATTTTGAAAGATGAAGCATCTACGAATGCTTCAAGAGAATACTTAGGCTTGGTTGGTGGAGTCGCAAATATAGGTATGTTACTCAAAAATTGTATCATATATCTTGCACAATCTGTTATAAGACACTGATAAATGCCATAACGCATATAAAAAGTGTTAATGACAGTCATGTTAAGCATGGCAACATGTTGTTTTGCTTTTTCACAATATCATTCCAAATGATCACTAAAAATCGATGAAGCCCCTGTGTCACAAAATAAATGTGTTCACTTGCCGGCTGATTTATCTCTTTATTTGTATAAAATGAAATTAATTTCTATAGAAATTAGTTTTGAAAAAGATTGTGTAGAAGCTAACTCTTTTACTTTAAAATTCAGATATATTGATAATGTACTTTCCATCGAAAATCCTAAATTTAGTGACATGATAATATTTTTCTGCTAAAATATGCTACATTTTTTCTCTAATTACCTTGGTAATTGGTTTAAGTGATCGTAATTTTTTATTGCTAACATAAATAACCAAATAATTTTTCAACCATTGATTTTATAGGTTGTAACCACAAAACATATACTATTTTCTCTCTGCACACGTTATGAATAACATTTATTCACCACAAATGATCAGACAATCGCTCTAACTTCTAAGGCCCACTCATACGACTGTTTATGCTGGTCGTACATATGTTGAAAATAAAAATAAACCGTTTTATACCTCTGGTTGTGTGAAGAGAATTTATAGTGTGTGCTGTGGGAAGATTATAAAAATACAGTGATACAAATTGAAATAGCAAAACTCCTGAAAATGAATTTGGCCAGATATTATAATTCATATGAATATTGCTGTGTCAATTTTTAATTGTTTAAAATTAAAATTAACTGATCAGAAAATAGCTCTAGCTTCTAAGCGCCACTAATACCGCTGTTAAAGCTGGTCGTAGAGATGTTGAAAATAGAAATAAACAGTTTTAAATCTCATGTTTTGTGATACAAATTTACAGTGCATTCTGGGAAGATTAAAACATTACTGTGATAAATATGTACTGTGTGCGTGGCTAAAAGCGACGCTCATACGCGATATCTAATCACGTATCTTCACGTTACGGTTCGTCCACTCTCAATCACCGCGATTCCTCAGAATGAAGGATGACATACTTTCATTAGTTTAGTTTTGTAATAGTTTTTTGCAATAAGAGTGAGAAGTAATCTCCCAATTTTCATCGTATTTATGTTTTGTAACAAACTCAAAAGTGAAATATTTGATTTCGGCTGGAACTTGAATAATTGAATGTCTTGCCGAGCTTGTATTAGATACCAAATTACACCATACAAAGCTATATTATCTACTTTTGTGTCTACTACCAAAGCTCAAAAACTACTGTGATGTACTCTTCTGTAGATGCGGTATCACTGTGATTACTCGCTTACCTATCAAAATCATGAAAAAGTCTATGGACCACAAGCGTAATTGTGAATTTGCTAATTCATAATATTATTCATGAAATAGAACGCTAAAATGTAAGTAAGGGTACGTGTTACAAGCGTATTATATACAAGAGATATGACTACATATAAGTCAAAATAAAAAAATGTCGTGGATCTAGATTAGGTAGATAGATAGGGATTTATTGTTATTTTTATTTTTGTTTCTGTAAAGATTCATTTAAAGCCTGGCACAATTTTGTGAGGTTTTCGCAATTATGAAAATATGAATTTAGGGTCTCTGAGTAAAACGATAGACTAGGCTGGGTTAAAGAAACCATACAGATTGGTTTCATCTTTTGCATTGATTGGAGATGTAAAGTCCTCCTAACGATGTTGTTAAAACTCCTTGATGAAAACTTGTTGGTGCTCTCGAAATTCTTATTGAACTATTTAACCAATGATGAAATGAAATTGTCATTGTGTGGGCATTAGCACATGCGCATTGAATACTGTTTGGTATTACCACACCCACTGTATATGACATGACTTCTATAAAAGACATGTTTATTCTAAACAACTCACAATACTCCAGACGCAGTTGTTGGTGAGTCCACCTCTACATGTGAGTATGGTATTAATGAACATTTTTATAATATATTATTGTGTATGTTTCACTCGTACAATATAATTCTGCATTACAGAACATGATTGTTCATGTCATAATTTTCTATGTTTGTGGAATCACTGTGTGCTCGTTTGGTATGAAAGAACTATTTTTATTAAACCAACTAGATGTTTGTGTTCACGTCGTAGTCTGTCATCTATTAGAAAATAACTTTAATTAATTAAAGTTGTGGTTACGAATTTGTTAAGTTAGAACAACTCAGGCAAATTTGGTGTACAAAATTGTTTGGTTTGTGATTTTCTTCTAATTAATGATTGCTATAATTTGTTCACTGAAAACTCCATGACAGTTGGCTTATTGTGTGAAGTATTATCTTTATTGCTCGCCTAAAATATTGTTTTCTTTCTTCTACGTGATGCTGAGTTTTGTTGTTACTTTTGCCAATACGACATATCATGCGTGTAGCATAATATAATAATAAAAGGTGTTAAAACGTTACAATTATTATTTATTGTTACTTGCATAATATCAACCCGGTGCGTTTTCCTGTTGAGGCGAGGACCCAATTTAACACAAGCATCCGCTGATTTGAAGCTCCTTTCAAAATCATAACAATCAGTGAACACATTCTAGACAATTGAATTTGCATGTGGCATACCTTCATTGTTTTTTATTTAACCACAGATAGTATTTGAAACATCTGAATTTGTTTTGTCTATGTTTATTTTATTTATGACAGATTGTATTCAGATTCAGATAGCTATCTGAAAGTGATCATGATGGCAATTCAAACAATGTATTTCTTACTTGTAGTGTTGGCGATGTTTGTATGTGTTATATACTCGGTGAGTGACTAATAATTCTTAGGAACTCTAGTTTTTGTGTTATATTTTGTATTGGTGATACAATTGCCGGACTTAGAATGGCGGTTATAAGGCAACATCCAAACAACATTAGTTGCTGAAGCGAAGATTGTACAATACCTGTTCATATCGATATACAAACGAGTTGCCATCCACTGTGTTGATGTAATTATCTTACGTATATTGTATATATTACGTATATCAATGTTGTTTCAGCTGAACGACCCGAGGAGCAAGAGAGCCCGGATACGTTTGAGTCCGACATAAAGTTAAATGATGAACAAA